CTCGGGTCTGGTGTTCTGAGGAAGGGTCACCAGACCCGAAACGTTAACTCTGTTTTCTCCTCCACAGTAGCTGCCAGACCTGCTGAGCTTTCCCAGCAACTTTGTTTTTGTTCTGTACAATTCAAGTAAGGTTTTACTAGTCCTGTACTCAAATCTTCTTGCAGTAAAAGCAAATACACTATTAGTGTTTCTGATTGCTTGCTGCACCTGCATCTTCGCTTTCAGTGACTTATTCGCAAGGACATCCAGGTCAACTTGTACGTCTTTCCTGCGTAACTTCTTACCCAGGTAAGAAATATGCTGCACATGTTCTTCCTAACACATCAGCATTGCATTTGATATGTTCTTGCCTGCTCACTAAATCTGTCCAAGTTATCTTGAAGCTGCTTTGCATCTTCCTCACAGCACACATTCCCATTTATCTCTGCAATCCATGAAATTAAAACTTTTGTTCCCACACTCAAATCATTGATATTTTTGTCATTAACTGGGTCTCAAGAATTGATCCCTACAGTAGAAAACTGGTCATAGCCTGCCAATGTGAGAAGGACCCATTTATTCCTATTGTTTTCAGCTTGTTAACTAATTTTTATTCCATGCCAGTGTATCAATTCCTATCCCATGTGCTTTATTTTTGCCAAATAACCTCCTGTGGGGACTTTATCAAAGCCCTCTTAAAGTCCAAGTATACTACATCCAAAGACACCCCTTTATCAATTCTGTTAGTAATATCCTCAAAAACCTCCAAAATCTCCAACAGGTTCAGCAAACACAATTTCTAATTCTCAAATTCATGCTGACTCTGCCCAATCAAAATATATTATCCAATATCGTTCACTTCGTTTATAATAGATTCTAGTATTTCTTTACTGGTGATGTAAGGCCAATAGGTCTGTAGCTCTCAATTTTCTCTCCTTTCCTTCTTAAATAATGGAATGACATTTGCTACCTTCCAATTTGTAGGAACCGTTCCAGAATCTACAGAACTTTGGGGAAGATGATCACCAATGTATCTACTATCTCCATAGCCAACTCTTTCAACACAACACTCTGGAAGGGAGAATATCAGGTCCAGAGGACTGACCAATCTTAATGACCCATCAGTTTCTCTAACCCAAGTTTCTTACTACTACTGTTTCCTGCAATGCCTTTTTTCCTTTCAGTGCCTTGGATCAAGTTCATATTCTACGTTCAAATATCTTTAGCTAATGCTTCTGTCAGAAGAGACTCAGCAGATACTGATTCAGTGCCCATCTGCAGCAAAATGTGGACAACACTCAGGCTTGAATTGATAAAATAGCAAGTAACATTCACACAAGTGCTAGCCAAATTACTGTCTCCAACAAGGGAGAATTTAGCTTTCATCACTGAATCTCAGACCACCAACAGCCTGAAAATTACTAGTAAATAGAAATTTATCTGAACCAGACATACAAATATTATGGCTACAACAGTATATCAGAGAACCACATGATACACTGAGAAATTTACCAAAGACCGTTAGACAGTTGTTTTCAAACCTGTGACTATTGCCATCTAGAAGAACAAGGGCAGCAGATACATGAGAACATCATCACCTGCAAGTTAAGCTCCAAACCACTCAATATCCTAACTTGGAAATACATTGTTGTTCCTTCACTGTTGCTGGGTCAAAACCCCGGAATTTCTTCCATAATGGCATTATGGGTCAAACTACAGCATGTGGATTGTAGCAGTTTAAAACACAGCTCACCGCCACCTTCTCAAGGGCAACTACAGATGGGCAATAAATGTTGGCCAGCCAGCAACACCCAAGTCCCACAAGTAAACAAAAACAAATGGAGGAACCAGTGCTAAAGTGCATCAAGCTGATGGATAGGAGTGTAGTCCAAACGTAATATCTAAATACATATAAAGTCATACAGCATGGAAACAGACCCAATGGCCCAACTCATCCATGCCAACCATGTTTCCTGAATTGAATTTGTCCCATTTGTCAGTATTTGGCCCATATCCCATTAAACCTTTTCTTCCATGTTTCTGCCCAAATGTCTTTTAAATGTTGTAAATGTACCCAACTCCACCACTTCCTCTGGCAGCTTGTTCCATAAACATACCACCTTCTGTGTGAAAAAGTTGCCCCTCAAGTTTCTTTTAAATCTTTCCTCTCCCACCTTAAACCTATGCCCTCTAGTTTTGGATTCACCTACCCTGGAGGTATCTATGCCCCTCATGGTTTTATAAACGTCTGTAAGGTCATCCCTCAGCTTCCTATGCTCTAATCCCAGCCTATCAAGCCTCTCCGAATAATTCAAACCTTCCAGTCTTGGTATTATCCTTGTAAATCCTTTTTGCATCCTTTCCACTTCAATAACATCCTTCCTATTGTACGGTGACCAGAATTGTTTGTAGCACTCCAAATGTGGCTGTACCAATGTCTTGTATAGTTGTAACATGACATCCCGAATTTTGTACTCAGTGCTGTGATTGACGAAGACAAGCGTGCCAAACACTTTCTTCACCACCCTGTCTACCTGTTGCACCACTTTCAAAGAACCATATATCTGCATTCCTAGGGTGCACTCCTAGCTCCCCTATACTCAACGGCTTCAGTTAATCCCAGTTATATACACCTCACATATGCCTCCTCCTTTTTCTTGACCACAGCCTCAATATCTCTAGTCATCTAGTATTCCCTATTCCTGCCAGCCTTGCCCTTCACATTAACAGGAATATGCTGGCCCTAAGCTTTCATTATCTCACTTTCAAAAGCCTCCAACTTACCACATGTCCCTTTAACTCCAAACAGCCTCCCCCAATCAACTTTTGAAAGTTTCCCATCTAATACCATCAAAATTGGCCTTGCCCCAATTTAGAACTCTAGTATGGGGACCAGACCTTTTCTATAACTATTTTAAAACTAACAAAATTATGGTCATTGGCCCCAAAGTGCTCCCGCACTAACACATCAGTCACTTGCCCTGCCTTGCATCCCGCACCCCTCCACCCCCCACCCACCCCCAAAAAGAAGGAGTTCAAGTTTTACCCTTCTCTAGTAGGGCCATCTATATATTGGTTGAGAAAGTTTTCCCTAGGACACTTAATAAATTCCTCCCTATGCAAGCCCTTAACACCATGGCAGTCCCAGCCTAATGTTCGGAAAGTTAAAATCCTACAACAACACTACTGTTCTACAGCTATCTGCGATCTCCCTACGTGTTTCCTTCTCAATTTTTTTGCTGATCCTGGGGAGCCTGTAGTACAATCCCTTCAAAGTGATCACCCTCTTATTTCTCAGTTCCACTAATAGCTTCCCTGGACAATTCCTCAGGAATATCATCTCTAAATACTGCAGTGATGTTTTCCCTAATCAAAGGCACCACTGCCCCTCCTCTCTTGCCTCCCCTTCTATCCTTGCTTATAGCATCTGTACTCAAACATAGAACTGCCAGTCTTGTCCCTCCCTCAGCCACATTTCTGTAATAGCCAATGATATCCCATCCTTACCCGGAGTTCATCTGCCTTACCCATCAGGCCTCTTGCATTGAAATAAATGCAGTTTCATTCATCAGTCTTCCCTCATTCTCTACTGTCCTCTTGCTTGCCTTGTCTCTAACTTGCTCTCTAACTTCTGTACTAGTCTCAACTTTCTCTTTTGTCTCACTGCTGTTTAGGGTCCCAACCCTGGCCAGACTAATTTAAGCTCTCCTGAGTAGTTCTAGCAAGTCTCCCCACTAGGATATTGGTCCCTGTCTGGTTAATATAAACTCTAATACTCCAGCATTTAAAAAAATCTCTATGACTAAAAAAAATGTCAATGATGGTTGGGATGACTTTTTGAATCAATCTTAACAACTATTTAAATTATTGTACAGACAATCCTCAATTTATTCCAGATAATCAACTCTATTGTTTTACACAGTGACAAATTGATAAAAAGGCCAAATCAGCCACTATATTTAGTTTTAAACTGCAAAGTGCATGCTTAAAATAGTCACACATTATACTTGTATAAGGATTTATTGGAACATTTGAGAACTGACTTAGGAAATGTACATTTCCATGACACCAACGTAAATACTTGTGGGAGCCACAGTGAAGTATTAATTACATTTTACTTGATTCGGCTATTCATCAGCAAATTTTACATAGCAAACAAAATGAGGAAAGCAACCATTAAACAGAAAAGTCCCATAGCTTCAGACAGGGCAAATCCAAGAATGGCATACGAGAATAACTGCTGCTTCAAAGAAGGATTTCTATAAAATAAAAACAAACAAAGCATTATTAAATTCTAGACTGTAAGCTTGTACCTGGAAATCTCAATTCAGCAAGCCCAATTTGAAACTACTGCCCACGTGATCACAGCATTACAAATCGACCAAAGGTAACAGGATATCTGAAACAGAATGAGAATGGTCCCCAAATTCCACCATAATGTTAGGATGCTCTTGTTCATCAAATTATCACAAAAGACAACCACCCCGCACCCCCCTCCAACCCTCTGTGGGTGAAGGGGGACTGAGTTCAGAGTCGAGCATGCCATGTAGACTTTACTTCTCTGGACTAAATCCAACGTAGCAGCTGATGTGCTTGGCGGAGTCGAGCAGTATTCATGGAAGTTGAAGATGATGCTTTCAGCTTTATCACCATTAAACCTGGGATATTACAAAGTAAAGGAAAGTACAAAGAATACACAAGGAGCTTCAGATTATCTTATTGGCACAGGAGAAGTAAATAGACATATTGTTAAATAATACTGGACTGGAAACATGGGAAAGTAGTGTCACAGTGCTGGACTATACAAGTCACTAGAGGAGAATGAGGTCATCAATGAAAACAATTAAAGTACCCAGCAGAAACAACAAGCTGTAGTAAAACAAGAAATTAACTCAGTCTTGGATTTAAAAGAAAGACTTGAGATTAAATAACTAGAAAATAAAGGAATTGATAGTAATCTTAACAGCAGATTAGAAGGCGTAGTGTCAATACTGCAAGACGATAATAGGTTGGTAGGCAGGAATGATCTACTGCTACAGGTTCGGGAAGCAACAAAGGAGAAATGGGGGAATAGCAGGCAGCAGACAACTATATAGTTCTCAGGCATTGCCTTGACTTTGTATCTGAAGTTCTTTGTAATAAAATGTCTCAGGGAAGGCTACAAGGAATGCAGAGCAAATGAATGACAAAAGTAGATGGTCTTATTCCTATTCGCCAAGAATATTTGGCCAGAGAAGGAGCAGTATTACTGTTCAAGGTGCTTGAGCTAGATTCATTAACAGGCATAAGGCATATTGCTTGGCAGATGACCTGTGAATTTCAAGCCACTATGGAGGTTATTGTTCACGATAGAACTCAACCAGCATTGAAAATACAGGGGAGCAATGGGTGAATTTGTCCCTTAAGGCCCTTCAAAATCAACCTGGAAGGAAAACAAGCATGGGGTGAACAATGGAGAAAGATAAAGATAGTTTCTGTATGAAGGGGAGACAGATTCTGTAATGAGCTGCTCCCACATTCAGAGATTCTGTTCTCTCATGCTCCTCCAATTATAGATTCCCTCTCTCCTGCTTTTGCTGCACAAGAGACAGAATCTTTGATTAGAGAAGCAGCCAAGAATGGGAAGGAGAAATCCTGAGACTGGGACGAAGCTATGGTGAACCAAAGAGGAGCCGCAGTGGTTAACAAGTAACCAGGAAGAGCAGTGGAGGTCACACAGTGTGAGCTGGGGAGAAGTAGCGGTCTTCAGTGAGTTAGGCCAAGATTCTGAACTATAGTGGGAGGGGTCTGTCTTGAGGTGATCCAAGGTTATGAAAATGCTAAAAAGCAAATATCTTACTTTAAGACATTGAAAGATCTCCACTGTTCAATAAAATAGCATTTTCTCAAGTAATTTCTGAGGCAATGTTTTATTTTTGAAAGCTCTCCAATTTTTGGCATTAGAATCAGTTGAAATCAAATATTTTTGAGATTTCCCCTGTTGGCTTGAATCATAATTACATCTGTCTTATTAGTGTAGTAGGGAAGAGAATTGTAGTGATTCTAAGGATGGTAGCAAAAGCAAAAGGCTTTCTCTCACAAGTGGCTGCAGGCAGCTCTGAGTTTGATATAACCTGTTGCAGATTTCGTAAGTTAAATAGGTTAATGGAGGGCTAATAGGTCTACCTCTCACAATGGCCAGCTCTCTTGCCTTAAAAAGTACTTAAGTGCCTTACAGCCCATTAAGGAAATCCTAAGGTCACGAAAGATGTGAAGTTTATACAGTTCTTGCTATCTTTCATGAAAAGCTAGACCAAATATTGTTCCCAGACCATACTGTCACTAAAATCAAAGCTCCGATTAATATGGCAGTATAGACAATGGATCAGGAGAGGGTACAGATGCAAACTTTCATTTTGAAATCACTGATTGTTGTATTAGTATTGCTAGGAAATAATATCTGACAATAATTTTCACAAAACAGTGATAATTGAGGCAAGGAGATCTATTTCTTTAAAAAGTTGGTTATGCTTAGGTATTTGGAATGCATGAAATGATTATGCAAATTGTTCGTTAGAAAAGGAAAATGTGATAAGAATTCAACACTGTATAGATTGATTTTAGATTGCAAAGGGAAGTGGATCCTGCGGCTACTAAGCAACTGTGGCAAGAGGAGCTTTTGTACTTATTGGGAATTGAGAGGTGGGAACAGGACCTGATTAGAGTGCACATGTGGCTGAATGAAGCCAAACAATATTTATTTGATATTTTACCCAAAAGATACTTGGAATTCATTCAGTTTACAACAAGTTGTCAGATTTTAAATTGAAAACTCCTGTCCTAGCTCATCTACTAAACTTGAACCATTCAACAGCAACTGAGACAATTCAGATTCTTCAGTAATCCCATGTTGGAAACAGAGTACAAGACTTATTTGTCATAAATTTTAAAAATTCTTATTAACATCCTAAATTATAACATTTGACAATATAAACGCATATGTAAAATCTTCAGTACTTATGCTGTTATTTTTCAAAAACAAAAAAAAAAAATCATATATCGCACAAGAATCAGAGGTGGTTTACTAATTTGTTATCTGGAATGAGGGGGTTGTCTTATAAGGACAGGCTGGGTTTGTTTCTGCTGGAGTTTAGAAGAACGTGAAGTGACGTGATCAAAGATCCCGAATGGTCTTGACAAGGTGGATGTACAAAGGATGTTTTCTCTCGTACATCAGTCCAGAACTAGGGGGGCACATTTTTGAAATCAGCATACACCCTTTTAGGGCAAAAATGAGGAGAACTTGTTTTCCCTTCTGAGGGTTGTGCAACTTTGGAGTATTCTGCCTCAGAAGCAATGGGGGCAGGGTCATTGAGTGTTTTTAAGATGGAGGTAGATTGATTCCCTTGCCTAACAAGAATCTAAGGTTATCAGGGGTAAATAGAATGTGGAATTCAGAACACAAACAGATCAGCCACGAACTTATTGAATTGTGGGGCAGGCTCGTGGAGTCGAATGATCTATTGCTGTTCTTACTTAATATTGTTCGTACTTATGTTCTCATGTGCAAACAGGTAATGTTACTTTGTGACCATGACTACTTCATTAGATGACAGTCAGTATGAAAAAGAAGCCCCGAAAACAAAACAAAACTAACCCCAAAAATCAAAAGCAGCCTTTGAGAATGTTCAACAAAGAGCCACTGCAAAAACATTATTCTGACCCCTGGACTGACCCAAAATTTGGTGGAAACAAGGTACAAACTGAACAAATTTGGATAGCCATCAATATCGTGACAAAATAGGGTTAGGGTTAGGGTTTCATGGCATGTGTAAGGGAGTTACAGGTAGTAGTTTTCAGGAACAGGATACAAGAGTGCAGGGCTAAAGGAAAGAAAGGGGAGCTGTGTAGGAGAAAACAAACAAGAACATACTGAAAAGGACATGGTCAGCAACAAGATGCCTCAACAGTATAATACAATAACATACCCATTTATCATGAGAAAAATAAATATGCAGCAAAAGAGTAAGGGAAGTAAACAGACCAAGACATTTAGGTGAAGGCAAGTACAAGTAGAGAGTGAAGATACTCAGGATACAAATTGCCTGATGGAAGCATTAAGGGAAGGTAGTGATGAGATTCACTGAAAAGGCAAGCAAAAAAAAAGCAAAAACAGCAGGAGAAAGGAGGACCATGGACTCAAAACTCTGTTTCCTGTCCACAGATGTGGCCAGATCAGGTGAGCTTCTCCAGAAATTTGTTTGTTTCAGATATCCAGCAGTTGCAGTTCTTGGTTTTGTTTCACTGAAGAGGCATTTGAGGAAGTTGATAAGTTAAGATTTTGCAGCAAAAATGAGATAAGTGTTAGAGGATATGGTGTTTGAATATGGACAAGGAGTCAGGATAAGCCAAGGTTCTCGAAGATCAATGCCAAGCAATGGTCTGAGTAGGAAGCATGGTAGAACATAAGTGAAGGTCATGGCACTGGTTATGACTTACAAGCAGCAAGTCATGTTTTGCCAGGACGAAAGTATTAAATGTAATCCATCAAGGTGAAGCTGTAGATTAAAGGCTTCAATCTGTTGTGTAAAATTTGTAGAAAAATTTGCAATTTTGAGGAAAAGGAATGTGCTGAGGATAAAGGATGATGAACAGAAGACTAAGAAAAATTTATTGCAGGGAAGCATCCAAGATTGTTTGAAGCAGTGCTTTGAGTGACTGGGATATAATATGCAGCATGTGTCATTAAGGATGTGGATAAGAATGCCCTGGAAATAGCTTCAGTAAAAACAAAAAAAAACAACAAAAACAACTTCTCCCTAAGTGCTAGAGAAACTCAGCAGGTCTGGCAGCATCTATGGAGAGTTATCACTGAGTCCAAAATGACTGTTCTGAAGAACTGAACAGGGCTCAAAAATGTTTTTTTTTTTAATGCTGTTGACCAGGACAGGGAGGACGACCAAGTGGAGAAGATTGTGAGGGTGCCCAGAGCAAAGAAAAGGAAGTGATGATAATGGTAAAGGAGAGATGGAAATGTAAAATAAAGTATAAATGAAGGTATGAAGAGGAGAAAATGGGTCCACTCTTTTGGCAGTGGAGTCAACAAGACAAATAGACGCAGCCCAGAGAGGGTGGGAAGATGTAAGAAAAATGGAGGACAGAGGTCAAGCTCTGAAGGGGCAGAAGACAGAGGACAAGTGAAATTGTTAACTTGTTCACGATGGATGAACAGTTGGACTGGTGGAGTGAAATCATAAGGAAACAGGAGCTGCTGGTAGTAACAGTTAGCAGAAGTTAGTAAAAGTGTAACACAGAGGGTTGATGTAGAAGCAATTATGCACAAATTAAAAAGGATAATATGGTGCAGACAATTTTTTGGGAACAGGTGAAGTGCACTGCATTGTTCAGATATATTTTTGCTGAAAAATTGATTTGCAACACTTTAAAACCACTCCAGCACATGCTTCTAAAAACATATAATGGTAATGCAGGGGGGCATAAATGTGCATTTATTCTAAGCAGCATAACTTTGACGGTAACATAACTATCCCGTTCTAAATGATATATGGACTCAAGACCTGGGCAACCTCACTACATGATCTAGAAACTCTTTGTTCTTATGCTGAAAAGATATTTTACAAGAATTTTCATTCGTTAGGCAGTTGATTTTTCAAATAAAAACAAGTACTTGAAAAATTTATTTAGTAGTTCCAAAGAAAAGTTATTATTGGACTTTGTTTCTCTTTCTGCTGATGCTGCCAGACCTAGTGAGTTTCTCCAGCACTTTAGATTTCATCTCTCCAGGATTTTGTTTTTTTGCAGTACTTTGCTTTTAGATGAATTCTCAAATTGGTCATAATAGCTTGTAAAACATGGAGTTCGTCTATTTAGTTTAATGATTGATGGCAGAAGAATTGTGGTATATTTCTTAAGTCTCTTATCATGCTCCTTTATTGTTGAACAATGTCAAGTAATGTACTTTGACAAGGAGGCATAAAACTTCATTATAATAGGGTGTGGAAGAAAAGTATCGATTGCATCACCAACATCTGTTACAATTTAAATAAACCCTTGTGCAAATTACTTCAATCTTATCACTTTCTACATTACTGTAGTTTATTTTCATGTTCCAATCTGCAGTTTCTTTTTACCTCAGCTGCCGTAAATTGTTTTCAGTATCTTCAATTTTGAATTATTTTATTTTCTTTCATTCCTGTCTGACAAACCAGCATTTTCTCCTGGGTTCAATGGTATTCTCATAATCCACGATCACTAAGACTAAGAAAGAAGACTAGGTAAATTAAGTAGCAGCAATTGGGTGATACCTTTCTGAACTTCTAAGAACCTGCAGATTGTAAGGGGAAAGGGAGAAGAAACGAGGTAAGGGAAACAATCGTTTTAAGGTCTGGGATAGAATGGGTCATAAGAATACGTACAAGAGGAGATCAACTGATAGAAATAGAGTTTTAGTGATTATATTTTGTAGATGATCTGAGTTGGCATGGTACAACTGTGCAACTGGTGTCAGCATCTGTGCGTTCGGTAAGGAGGGCGGAAATGACAATCGTCCAGCAGATTCTGCTAGAAGTGCTTGTGTGCTAAAATTGGTTAACAGAAGGATCAGCAACAGTTCCCTCTGCAGTCAACTGTATCCCAACAAGGAGTCAACATCTTCAACAGTAGAGGAAAAAAGTAGGTAATGGGTGTTTTTTAAAAAAAAAATCAAGTAGATTAGCAGTATGCATGTCCATTAAAGCATAGATTATTTACATGAAAATTTTCTGGAAAGGCTGAGCATTTTGTCGATTAAGATTACCTGGCATAACCAATAATAAGGCTACCAAAAACTGTTCCAATTCCAGCCCCAGAACCAGCCACTCCAACAGTGGCAGCTCCAGCACCAATGAACTTTGCAGCAGTATCAATATCCTGTCTTGCAGCACTTGTCTGGAACTCTCGAAGTACATCTTGAACAAATGAATTCTTGCCCTGGGTCCTTCTCAGAAATGTTGTGCGTTCCTAGAACGAATTCAGAAATTGCAGCTATAAAGCAATATTTTTGTCAGCGAATTCATACTTGACGTCACCCTTGCATGATCATTAAGTCAGACTTATGTCAACATTTATAATGGAAAACTCCCAGGTGAGAAATTTATTCACATATCACCACAATTCATAGCATTATGCAGACTTATGTCAAGTTTACATACAGGGCAAACAAACAAACAAACAAACAAACAAACAATCTCCCCATACAATGTTACCACTTACCTGCCACTACCGATTAAAAAACTTACACACACTAAATGGTATGCTACACTTGCCTTGTACATCACTTTAGCAAGTCTCTATCTCTGTTCGCCATGTATTAGCTTGGATTATTGAACCCACTGTCCTTGAACTTAGCAGTTGCACTACCCAGTTTTCAAAACTCCATTGCAGCCATAGGTCAATCACCAATCAAATCTCTGGCCTCATTCTTTTCCTTACCATTCCAAACCCACTTATTCATAGATCTCCAAGTGAGAGTTCCTCCTTTTCCTTTAAGAATCACTTGTGAATCCAAACAATACACCTGACAGCAGACAGTAAGAACAGGAGAGTCTCCTCATTAACCACACTGCAGAAGGCAATGGCAAACCACTGCAATAGCTTTCCAAGCAAATCATGGACCAGAGTCCATTGTCACCAATGCCCTCTTAAGGCATGGTACTCAGAGAGAGAAAAACAGTCAAAGTCATACAGCACAGAAACAGATTCTTCAAACAACTTGTTCATGCCGACCAGGTTTCCTAAACTGAACTAGTCTCATTTGGCACATATCACATTAAACCCTTCCTATCCATGCACCTGTCAAAATGTCTTTTAAATGTTGTAATTGTAATCACCTTTACCACTCCCTCCTCTGGTTGCACATTCCACATAGGCGCCACCCTTTGTGTGAAAAAGTTGCGCCTCAGGTCCCTTTTAAATCTTTCCCCTCTCACCTTAAACTATGCCCTCTCGTTTTGGATTCCTTATGCTGGGGAAAGGACCTTGGCTAATGTAGCCGGATGGGCCACTCAAAATAGCAGAATCAGATAATGCACCAAGCATGCTGGGAAATCAAGCCAAGCATTGGCCAAGGTATCTATGCAAAGATACTGCAATAAACAAGCTGCAGACCCAGACAGATAGGCTGCAGCTGCAGACACAACAATACATAAGTGACCAAGCCTATTTTCCGGGACAGTAGGAAACTTTGAGCTGTATCCAGAGCAAAGGGACACCTTATACTCTTATCCAGAAAGGCTACCTGACTTACTTGCAGAAATGGAGGACCAAAGACCACCCCACCATCTGCTTGACATGCGTGATTGAGTCTGATCAACCACAGTAATCGATTCCTGATCGATCTATTGGTGGCAATGAAAGACCCTCCCAAAGGGGCGCTAAAGCTTCCAAGGATAAGAATTGCCGCAACAGCACCCTCAGGAGTGGTAATTCGAGACCAACCACTGTAAGAACAGGTGCCCCTGGGACCACCGAGACAGGAAGACCAGACAAACATCACCACATGTATCAAGGCCAAGGTTTAGTGTGGTGATGTTTGATCATTCCAAGCTACGTTAAAGAACAAGATATCGACTTAAATATATAGCGTTAATTATCAGATTTATAGTGTTAATTGTTAGTTTGTAGCATAATCGTTACTATAGTATTAATAAGAGTTGACTCACAGTCCTTTGTGGAATATATGAACTAAACACACAGTGTGGCAAGTGCAACAAATTGGCACCCCAGACAGGCCTCGATAAGGAGTGACTTGTGTCACTCCGAGATTGAAACCCATGGAATCAGATGTTCTCTGAAATTTTGCCTGTGCCCGGATTAAGAGGACTAAGTCCCACGTGACGGCCAGGAATTCAAGTACATCCAAGGGAATAGAAAGGTCTACATTAGACCGCTCCTTAAAGAGGTGTGTGCACCTCTTTGTGCCTGTGCCTGTGCCTGTGCCTGGTCCCAAGTGGGATAGATAAGGTAACGCTAAATGTCGGTACAGACGTGGTGGGATTAGGACCGGAACATAGCAAAAGCCGTACCATTCAGTCCAATCCACTCCTACACACTTTAAATCAGAAATGGCAGAAAAAGGCGCCAGAGTAAAAGATTGTTCAGTATGAGAAAAGATGTCAAGACAATACAACAGTAAGAAAAAGTGGCCCATATGGGCAGAATTTTGCTGTCATGGTGAAAAGGGACCAGGATCCCTACGACAAAAACATAGGGAGGATTTGAGGAAAATTCAAGGGAAGCAGGCTTCCAAACTTGAAAAACCTATAGCAATAATATGCTGTCTGGGACAATTGTTAGGAACTGAGCAGGAATTGAAAAAGGTTCACAAAGAATTAGGACGCGAAGAAAGAAAGAGCAGAGTTACAACAGAAAAGTGCAGAGCAGGATTGAAGAAATCAAGCCAAACTATTACACATGGGACAATTCCAAACCCAATGTGAGAAGGCGTATCAAGATGTCCAGCGTGCAGTGTCAGCTAAAGAGGCTGCTGAGAGTGAAGTAAATCAGTTAAAAAGTAAACGTGCAGATCTGCAAACACAGTAAAAGGTAATGCACCAATCTGTTAAGGAAAAGAAACAGCCAGCCACAGACCACATTAAGTGCCAGCAGGAGATTGAGAAGTTAAAATTCCAACTCTCAATCCGCAACAGAATAATATATGCTTATGGGAATGCTATAAAGGAAGAAGAACAGGAAGTAGACTGGGATGAGCTCAGGAAGATACGCAGCAGTATGCCATGAGCACGGAGGATTGGGATCCACCACCACCATTCCCAGGAGAATCAGCCCCTTCAGCACCCCCGCAGACACTCCATGCTGTAATGAACCTGATTACCACCAAAAGACAGGCTGGGGATGTTGCTGATGCCCCAGCACTAACATACACTACCCTAATTAGCAGAAATCCCCAAAAAGATATCAGATTTTGAACCACTGGCAGACCCACTGTATTCTTCGATAGGATCAGACAAAAGGTTTTGCATGGTCGAGGAGAGAGCGAGAGCGAGGAGATAAAACTCATTGTAATGTGTTTGAGCCAGTCAGTGCAGTCTGCAATCCCAGCCCCTCTAAATGTAGGGGAAGGCACTCTAGCCGATATGAAAGAGGCAATCCGAACAGCAATTGGATGCAACAGAGGAGAGGCCGTAGATGGACTTAACAAGTGTAGGCAAAAGAAGGGAGAACACCTGACTGCCTTTTCCGGTCATTGTGGTACATTTTACAGGAGTCTATGGAGATTTAGACAGAGGTCAGTTATCCGGGGCTGACTCAGCTAAATGGGCTCTGGCTTAGTTTCACACGTCAACAAAGAGAGTAGGAAGGCGTGTGAGAACTTCGATCCCACAAAGCCAACTCACAATGAGGCATGGGTCCTGAGGAGAATGTCCCAGGCGTGGGAAAAAGAAGCCCGCGAACAAAACAAAAACAAAAAAAAAAAAAAAAAAAAAAAAGGGAAAACGCTTCCTCTCTGAGCCTCCAACCACGGTCCAGTGTGGAGGAATGAAGGAAGAAAAAGTAATCCTCATCAAAGGAACTCTGCTCCACCTCACAGAGCCACAGGGAGAGATAGAAGGGTACAGCACAGGAACACAAGGCAGCCAATGCAGTGCCACCACTGCAGGCACCCAGGACATAATGTTTGAGAATGTAGAGTCCCTGCACAGTTACACTTGCAACCCCAGGGACCACTGAACGTGATGGGAACAAGGAGTAATAGAGGGAGGCACTAACTCCTATCAGAAGGTCCAATTCGGCAGGCTCTGGTCTAGGTCAGGGACACTAGCCAATCCACCTTCCAAAATTACAAGGCATCGACATGGCACTGTCAGGCCCCTACCTCCCCAATATGGGTCTGCAATACAAAGTGGGATAGTGTAGGTAGACCGCGAGTCAATAGCGAGGTAGGAGGCTGCTGGAGGTCCCCGCACAACCATAAACAGCTCAAAATTTAATGATCTACCCTGGTGAACCACAGGGACTATTATTGTAAGTGGATTTACAGGTCATGCACAGGAGGGGTACATTACTGAACCTATAGAATTTAAACTAGGTGACATTACATGCCACCATCCTGCTATTTTAGTTAACCTTCTCCCAGACACAGAACACATCCTCAGAGTCAGTTTCATTACTAGGTGTACCCTTGCTGTTGATCCAGTAAATTCCTGCATATGGAAGATGCCCCCAATTAGCAAGGCACCACCTATCATTGCAACAGGAAATTATGTTGATCAGATCAGCACAATAGGAGAGTTTTGGTTCAATACACTAACAATGACCAAGGATCCAGCTATGCAATTACAAGGTGTGGAGCTGGAGGAACACAGCAGGCCAGGCAGCATCAGAGGAGCAGGAAAGCTGACATTTCGGGTCTAGACCCTTCTTCAGAAATGGGGGAGGGGAAGGGGGCTCTGAAATAAATGGGGGGAGCAGTGATAGAAGGTGGATAGTGGAGCAGGTAGGTGGGAGAGAAGACGGACAGGTCAAGGAGGCGGGGATGAGGAGTAGGGCTGGTCTTGGGATGAGGTTCGGGGTGGGGAGATTTTGAAGTTAGTAAAGTCCACATTGAGACCATTGGGTTGTAGGGTTCCAAGACAGAAATATAAGGTGCTGTTCCTCCAGTTTCCGGGTGGCATCGTTGTGACACTGGAGGCGGCCCAGGATGGACATGTTGTCTAAGGAGTGGAGGGGCTGAAGTGGCTCGTGACTGGGAGGTGTTGTTGTTTGTCGCGAACCAAGAGTAGGTGCTCTACAAAGCGGTCTCCAAGCCTCCGCTTGGTCTCCCCGATGTACAGGAGGCCACATCGGGAACAGCAGATACAATAGGCCACATTAGCGGATGTGCAGGTGAACATCTGTTTAATGTGGAAGGTTTCTTTGGGCCCTGGGATGGAGGTGAGGGGGGAGGTGTAGGGGCAGGTGTAGCACCTCCTGCTGTCGCAGGGAAAGGTGCCGGGGTGGTG